CTTTCCATTGTAAATTGGTATTTCCGCACTACTAGTCCCGGCCCACTGCTTTAAAACTCTGGGAACGCAGATCAGCGTTGCCAAAAATAAACGTAAATTTCAAGATTCGAGCCTCAATGAGGAATTTTGATGGATTTGGCGAAGTCTACTAAGCATCAAGAGGCCGGAGCGGCTCGGACCCGATGACGGCGAAAAGGACCCACTCAAGCCGACCGGTCACTTGGCGGGCATGTCCGTAAAGTGGCTGAAATCAAAGGATATTGATCCTAATTAGGAAATGCACCCGTTGGGAGATCGACCCGCATTTTTCTTTACCGACTTTGTTAGTCAACGTCAAAGTATTTTCGCATACAGGTACACTTGACAGAATGCTTGACGGCAAGCACAGAATGGCATTTGAAGAAATCTGACAGCTAATAACCAATAGTACAGACACTCCTGGGCTCCTACTACCGCTAGTGCTTGTGGCTGTCGTAGATCTTGGGTTCAGTGGCTACCTAGACAGGGCTGAAGTGGTATTCGAATAGCACCAAAAGACTAAGGCGTTGATATGGGAACTCACATCGATCTTTCGATTTATAATTAGAAGTTCCACAGGCAAAGTGAGATTGTTGTCTTTGTATCTTGAGATGATATGAATTCTGTGAACCACAAACCGCTGCTACCAGGCCGAATACCCCTGCTTGTCACTTTTGTGTTGGGAATTATCTAGTTACGAAGATGGCAGCCATTAGTTAACTAATCGAACCGTGACGTCGATATCTGAAACAATCTCACATCTAATCTTCAAAGCGTCATCCTGACTCACAAACATAATAGTGACAGCGACAGCGACAGCGACACCTGCTGACCTGTTGTCAATTGCCCCTGGAACAGCTGAGCACAACTCACTCACTAATGCCGCTGATCCTGGCCCGGCACTGGATTAAAGTCGGGCGTGGCTTGCAGATCTCCGGGTGGCTGTGCTCGCTTGTGGCGTGCCGTTCCCCGCACTGGAGCCTTTATCCTCTCAAAAGGCAGGAGGCCTACGCTACCGGTACTACCGAGAACTCCAAGACAGTTGAGAGCCTCACTTGAAGTTCCATCCAAGACGTGGCACCAGCGACCGCTCCCTTGGATACGGGCTGGGGCCATTGAAACGCCGATAGCTACCTTTTCAAGGTCTGCCGGTTTGAGGGTTGCCTAGTTCTCTAGTCACCCACCAAAATTTACCCTAGGTCCGAGGAGCCAAGGCCGATGCAAGCAGTCTAAGCGAAGCCCGTTTTGCCTCACTTGTACTGTACACTCACCTTACTTGCACCCCATAACTCGTTGTCTATACGTTGGCCACATGACATGGCCGTGGCTCAAGCCTCGTTGTATCCCTGGAATAATGTCTTTGGTGGTATCCAAGCGGAATACGTTTCGGCCATGAAATGACTCCGAGTCTCTACGTGGAGCAGACCAACGAATCCAAGAATTGCCGACGGAAGCAAAGCCTTCCCTAGTCCTCATTTACGACTCAATGGCACTTCGTTGCTAGGAAATACGGTGTTCAGGGGCAGGTTGACTGATGCGGACTCGAAGACCAGTCAAGGTATTGTACTGTACCGCCGACTATGGCTCTATCAAATCCCCTGTATGTCTCTTGGGAGATAACGTCCAGTCGTTGACAGGACAACAATGACACTACACACAGCTACAGCTACAGCTATATCGGCTCTCCTGTCTTGTCATATCACAATCACTACCCCTCACGCCCTCAGTTCTGCGTCCACGCCGCGTGATATCCAATCCGCAATGGCCATAATGGTGATCATGGGATTCACGCCACTGGCGCTGGGAAACACGCTCCCATCTGCGACGTAAAGGTTACCCGTGCCCCAGACCCTTCCCTTCTCATCAACCACGCCCTCGTCGCTGCTCGCGCTCATGCGGCACGTGCCCATCTGATGGGCTGAGCTCCAAGGGGCCGTCGGTGGTTTGTTGCCCACTTCGCGGACGCTGCTGAGCCAGGAGGCAAAGGCTGGGTCAGTGGTCTCTGGATCGGCCACTGAGCCTTTGGAGTCGAGCAAATGCTCCGAGGACGTCTCTCCCCTGCGCACAAAGGACTCCAGACCCTTGAGAAGAGGACGTATCTCGACTGCTCCCGTGACATAGCATATCTTGGCCAGAGCCTCGACTCCCTGGATGGTATGGGCTCGATCATAGTCCGAGGGAGTGTAGTCAATGCGAGGTCGACCAGTCGTGGGGTCTGGAAAGACGCTGCCTGCGTCACGATCTCTGGTCAACGATATCCAGGCATTCATGTGACGCAACTTTGTCATATGGAGTTTTGCATCTAGGCCGCTGGTCCATGATGGTTGCGACAGAATTGTGAATGGCTATGACGAGTCAGGATGATTCGACGACAATACTGGATTCGTTACTCACCACCATGCACGTCGTTTCCAGCTTCGCTCCGTATCCACTACCGTCGACGTTGTCAAACTGGGGACAGTAGCTGGTGATAATGCCTCCCTCCCAAGGTATCGTTTCCTCCTTCCATACTGCTGTGACAAAGTTGCAAGGATGAAGGTGCAGATTAGCTCCCACATTCGGATTCTAGACAAAGTTAGCCAATAACCTTTATTCACTGCTGACAGGGACACGTACAGTAATACCGCTGTTCTTGAGGACGATCGGGCTCCATAACGAGCCGGCTGCAAGGATTACCTTCTTGGCCCTGACTATGACCCGTCTCTTGATTCTTATGTTCGCGTCATTCAAGTCACCTGCACTATCCCTCGACACCCACTCTCCCTCGATGCCAATGGCAGTCTGCCCGTCATAATCGAACAGGATCTTGTCGACCTGAAATCCTTCCATGAACTGAGCGCCGGCCTTGGCAGCATCCGGTAACCAGCTCACAGCTGGCCCTCGCTTTTCGGCCAGACCACAGCCAAGGTGACACTGGCCACAGAAGTGCTCCCTCCCTCCCGTGTTGACCGGAGCTGGACGTGCCGTCCAGCCGAGCTTGCTTGAGCCATTTAGAAGCACTCTATTTCGGTGATTGTGGCGTATCTGGTCAGTGCCAGCCCCTTGAAACTCCCACACACGGTCTAGACACTCGTCGAACTCTGCGGATGTGAAGAAAGGAAGGCCCTCATCCGCCCATTCCTCTCGCACAAAGTCTTGAGGCTTGAGACATACGCTCCAGTTGACGGTACCTCCTCCACCCCAAGCACTGCCAGATGTGACGGTACAACCAGAGTCTTCCGTCATAAAGAAGCCTGCGTTGTCGTAGAGATGAGCACAGGCTGCATCCTGAGCCATTGGGAGGTGTGTTGAAGGATAGTGATAGGCCTTATCCACGACAATGACTTTGTGGCCAGCCTCTGCTAGATTCTTGGCACATACACCTCCGCCGCAGCCGGAACCGATAATGACGACGTCGGTCTCTATGGCATGTGCGTCGTCCCCGGGGCCGATCTGGATAAAGTCATAGTCGAAGGTTTCCTTTGGTTGCCAGTCCTTTGGGGCATCTGAGTAACCCGAGAGCTGGTAGAGAGCCGAACTGGTTTGAGAATATGCCTTGAAAGACATGGCAGCCATCGTTTTGGCCAGAGCGGACCAGCGATCCTTGGGGGATGTGGCCCATGATTTGAGGATGGCTTCGCGGACGTGGGTGGGCTGGTTGTATATTGGTTGCCAGTAGCCGGTGATGAAGTAGCTACCAGGACGGGTGCTTGAAAAAAAAAAAAAAAACTTAGTGACGCGAAACAAATGGAAGCATGGCCCGTCTAGTTTGTACTCACGACATCAAGCTCAATAACCCGGCAAGGCGCTTGAGTTGGTCGGGCGGGGATATGGCCAGGGTCCTCATGAGGTTATCTCTAAAGCGAGCATCATTGACAGGCCTATCACGGAGAAAGGCACGGATATTGTCTCTAGTGGCTGGGGCTGCCAGAGCCTCGGCACTACGATCGAGGACAGCATTGACTTCATGGTCTGGAAGCTGAATCTGACCTTGATCGTCGGTCACATCGGACTCTGAGGTGATGGAGGGCAAGACACCGTCGACAAGTGCAAAGAAGACGTCCCATTGAATAGGAGAAAAGAAGTCGGTTGGTGGAGCATCGGGCAAAGCTGTGGCAATAGGAGCCTGAGGAAGAGGAGAAATCGGTTGTGGAACGGTCATGATATGATGATGGTCAAAATGAGGGAAGCAGTTGGACGAGGAGAGAGTTTGAGACGATTCTGTCTCACATTCGCTTCACACAAGACCAAGACATTCATTGACTTATGTACGAATGAGACCAGCAGTTGAAGAGAGAACGTCTGGCCCGTGCCACTAGGGGACTTAGTTTAGGTGGCCCGGGACTGGGGGGAGGGGTTCACTAGGTAGGCGAGCTGGGCAAGCTGGGGTAGTTAGGGAGAGCAAGCAATTAACAACCATACTATAAACTGACATGCCTCTCTCTCTACGGTATAGGTAAGGTAGGAAAATGAGGGGAAGCTCCAAAAGGGGCAAGGTCGTAAGAGAGTAAACTTATATTGAACAAAGAGATCCTCGGTAACCGTACCAGGTCTTGTGATAGATGTCCTCTCAAGGTTTAGTTTGCGAGAGAGAGAAAAAGCATGTTGGACGTCACAAGGATCATAATCAAACGGGCAAGACAAAATAATCGAATTCCATCCGGTTCAATATCAACGTTTCACAGACTCAGGCACACAATCTGGACAATCTCCCAATACTTATGTTGGCTATACCATACTGAACTGTATAACCACACAGATACGGAGACCCTTGCTGTCGGCCTAGTCTACAGTATGCGTTTTGTGTAGACTACCTAGGTCGCCCAATCATGTCAGATGTCCAAGGTCAGGTAGATACCGGCCCGTAGCCGGCCCCGCATACAGGTACAGACAACATGAACGCCCTCTCAACAACCATGATAACAATGACTACGGCTACTGGAACTCAATACTTCTGGGTTGAACTTTTCTTTCAGTATTGATGACAACGCCAAAGAGTCCCAATGGATAAGGCAAGAATCCTACTCGTCGGCTGCGGGGGAATAGGCTGTATAGCAGCCCTCAACCTCGAGACCGGAGGCCGGGCTGAGGTTACAGCTGTGCTGCGCTCAAGCTATCAAATAGTCAAGGAGCGAGGATTCACCATCAATTCTGTAGATCATGGCCAAATCCTTGGCTTCAGGCCAACCGAGAGTAGGTTACTTCAAGTACCGCATCATCCATCATCAACTAACCTCGATACAGTCCTACCATCTATTCCTGATGCCTCCAAGTCCGGCATCTCACCCTTTGACTACATCATCTGTGCCACCAAAAACATACCAGTGATCTCTACACTGGTGGCTGATCTTATACGCCCTGCCGTGACTCCCGGATACACCACCATCCTGCTCCTTCAGAATGGACTTAACATTCAAGTTCCTGTCCAGGAGGCATTTCCGGATAATGTAATTCTCTCTGGTATCAGTATGTGTGGTTCCTCGGAGCCAAAACCTGGCACCATCGAACACAATCTGCACGATGAGCTGCGTATTGGCCCCTTTGAAGACTTTGGCAACGCTGCTGAGCGAGCAAAGGATCTTGTAGCACGCTTCAATGCTGGAGGACGCTGCACTTGCCACTTCGATGATAACGTCACCTTCTCTCGCTGGAGGAAGCTCCTCTATAATGCTGTTTACAATCCAGTTGGTGCTCTGACAAGACTGGATACTGGCGATATGCAGCTTTGTCCTGGCCTCGTCGACGAGGTTATACGGCCTGGCATGAAAGAAATACAAGCTACAGCCGCAGCTTATGGACAGGAGCTTACAGATGAGATGATAGAAGCAACGATTGTGACCGAACCTATTGATGCCCATGTATCACCGAGTATGTTGATAGATGTTAGAAAGGTCAGTGTTCTCAGCCCCTCATGATCTCCCCCCCTTTCAACTTAACCCTATAAACACACCATAGCCACGGTCCGGTCCATATGCTATCAACATTCCTTACTCCGACGGGGGAAAAAAGGAAAGGGAAAAAACGTGCTAAATCTCCCCTAGGAACAGTACATTGAGGTAGAAAACCTCCTCGGTGAACCACTTAGAGCTGCCCAGGCACGCCAAGTACCAACCCCGATTCTTCAGAACCACTACTCTCTAGCAAGTAGTTATCAGTGGAAGCTCCACAGCCAGAAGGATATTTCAGAGATGAGATGATGTAGAATGTTCATCAGTAGTTCCGAATAAGAAGTTTGCTTTGAGCTGTTCAAGAAGGATAGCTCTGGTGTGAGTCCGATCTCATGTCAGCCCTTTTAAGAACCTGGCATTTCCCAAGACACCGAGTCAAACCACCTTATTCTATCTAGTACCTACCTACGTAAGTAGTACCCGTATCCTCTACAGTCACTAGCCGTCACATCGTTTGCACCTGTTATCAGGATCAACTATCCCGCGAAGAAAATCTGGCAACGAGAAGTCCATGAGAATCATAGCCGGGACTCAATCGGACCCGGATTGTAGCATTATAAAGTTATACTATCATATATCCTCCATCGAGGAAACGCACCCATGCTGTTCATTCCTTTCATCTCTTAGTGAAGAAACAGAGAGACGAGAAGAAAAAAAGCACGTTCTCTCTGCCAATACGCCGATATCTGCTCCATCCGTTTCTTTCCCTTGTCCCTCATGGGCGCTGTCTACCAAGGTGTGATGGAACCGGAAAGTGGTACTATTATTTCATTTCATCTGTTGTACAATGCCAAACCGGGGCTGAAGAAGAAATCGTCATCGAGCTTAGTCCTGGTTGACAGTTTGCTGAAAGCGTAGGTGTTAGCACCTCGAGAGTTGTACGGGGGTATAGCAGAACTCACCACAAGCCAGTCCATGCCCTCATTCACACCGCTGCCATCGACCGCTGAGCAGGCCATGATACTCCAGTTGCGGTCGCGGAGCTCGCCCAGACGCAGTGCCTCAGAAATCTCACCTGCGCCCTTGGCTCCTGGCTGATCCTGTTTGTTGGCAAAGACTAGCAGGGCCGCATCCTTCAGTTCTTCCTCGTTCAGCATAGCCGATAGCTCCTCTGAAGCGGTGTGTAATCGCTCGATATCGGTCGAGTCCACAACGAAGATGACAGCTGCTGTGTTGGCGTAGTAGCACCGCCAGTAAGGTCGGATGCTTGTTTGGCCGCCGAGATCCTGCACTCGCCCGTATCAGTATTTCTGCTTCTGGCCCGTTCCGAGACTGGAGGAGGTCGAGATCGTACCCAGACGTTAAAGTTTAGGTTCTTGTATGTGACAGATTCGACATTGAAGCCAATTGTAGGTATCGTTGTGACAACTTCGCCGACCTTGAGCGCCTGTTAACATGTATCAATGCGCGTGTGTGTCTGGAGGCCCGAACCTTGAGTCGATACAGCAATGTTGTCTTTCCAGCGTTATCCTATGATGCCGCCTGGTTAGCGTCTCGGGGCTATGCGATCGATAGTCGGATAGACGTCATCCTACCAGGCCGAGGATCAATATTCTGATCTCCTTTTTCGCAAACAGTAGGTTGGAGAACCATGACATTGAGTTTCCCATGATGAACAACTTGCGACGACTTCGAAGCTCCTGTCTGTCTTGTCTGCTCCGTGACTTGGCTTGTTTCGATAGGTAGGTAGGTAGTTGGGAGGTATCGTCTTGCGCAGGCGCCTGGACAAAGGAGAGAGGACCCGACGATGTAAAAGAGGCGGTTTAGGCTGTCTGGCTGTCAAGTGTCGGACACGGATTATAAGCTCGCTTATCGTTATTCGCAGCAACAAGTACAGCTTGTGCTTGCCTTAGTACCTTGGTCAACGAAGTAGAACAACTAGAAAGTAAGGATACGGGATACGTTAGTAATTTAGGTAGTAGAGGTCCCCTTTTCTGGATCTTTAAGTTAATGCATCTCGGCCTCTCATGGACAAGTTGCTCTTTTTGGCGGCGTTGGGTTGGTCCAAGCGCCTGACAAAATAACCCGGACCACCTCAGCCTTGAGCCCCTGCAAGACAGAGAGTTCTCTCTCTCTTGACTGTCTGTCTGTCTGTGGTGTAAGCCATTCGCTAGGGAATACGATGATGTTGATATGCGGCAGTGCATGCATGGCCTTCAAGTCTATAAAGGTAACTAAAGGTAGGTACCCCAGTCATCGAACTTTGCTTGAATTGAAAATGTATCAAGTCTTGGGCGGAGTAAGGTAGGTAATCAATAATTATTATGTATGCCTTGTCTGTGGATCTAGAAACCTGGAATCTACAACGTCGGGTCTCGTGCTCTGGAACCCTCCTGAGACAGAGGCGTTTCCATTTAGGCATTTAGGTACTAACCTCATCCAAGAGAACTATCTGTACATCCGATACATGTCCATCGAGAGCTTGTATATCAGTCAGATCGATTTATTGGTTGCTATCATGCTTCTCACAAAGGATACGTCCCAATAATTTCCTCAGGTGGACAACTCACAAGCCACTCACTGCCTCCTACAGTATACCTTAGGTAACTAGGTACTAATAAGATAAGGTACCTTAGGTACTGTACTGTGTAATTTTGTCATGAGTTCCAGCTAAAGAGTCACGAGCCGAGCTCAAAAGTGCTTACCTCAGCACCATCCATGCCCGCCCCAGGTGGATCTCACATTGCAAACCTCAGGCACCAACCTCAGCTCCACCCACAGAAAAAACCTAGCCCTAGAAGCGAAATTCCTCGAAACAAGTGTACTGCAATTCGATACTCTATCACCATTTGGCAACGACTGACCGACTCGACCACCAACGACGCCGTCAACATGCCGGTATGACAGCCCCTCCCTATCGCCCTCGGAAGCACGCTCTCAGCTCGCTCTCTTCATCATCGACAATGGAATTCTGCATCGAATGAACATATTTCCCGCCGCGTCCGTCGATGATGAAAATGAGTCGCAATCTCTCGAGGGCGGGCTCTGCTCCCATGACACCGGATCGCTAATTATTCCTTTTCACACAGAGCCACAAGTCTTTCCGAACCAAGCAGAAGCTTGCCAAGGCCCAGAAGCAGAACCGCCCTGTGCCTCAATGGATTCGCCTCCGAACTGGCAACACCATCCGGTGCGTTTTGACTCCCCCCTTCGAGACGACAACTTTACGACTCTATTAGTCCGCCCGCGAGCAGAGTAACTCTTGGCTAACATCCCTAAACAGCTACAACGCTAAGCGAAGGCATTGGCGCAAGACCCGTATCGGTATCTAAGCTGACGGTCCTCGACTGTTACCCACCCCAAAGCCCAGCAACCGACTTTTCTCTCTCTTGGGCATGGTATCACGATGATTGATGTGAACGGAAAAGGGGAGGAACGATATGGTTGTGGTGTGAACTGAACTAAGAGGCCGTGTCTGCACTGCACTGCGCGTGCGCACGGGGGCGATGGGCCGGTTGCCTGGTTTATCGATTATTGCCGGTTACTGCATGTCACGGACGGTCATAGGGAAAAAAAAGGAATGCAAAGACTTTGATGCCCCAAAAAAGAAAACGGGCCTGAACTACATGGATGCAGTCTACCTCGCCTGTGAACGACGACAACGCAAACGTTGGCTCTTGTGTGCTGTCTTTATTACCAGCAGACTGTATGGTGTTGTGCAAGTCTTCGAGTAGTTAAATGAACGAATCACGCCCCAACCCGCAACTCCCACTTTCACCAACGCATTCATCACAGATCTCGAGCTGACCACTGCATAACTGAACGTCTTGATAACGCCGGGTTTGATGGTAATCATAAATTGAAGTCCTAAGCTAAGTCGAAATGACTTTCTACCAGTGCTTCCAAGTGTAGGATTTGAAGCCGTGTTCAAATACTGCCAGACGAGATGCATCCCGTAGAGAGCCTGCGTTGGACAATATCATGTTACCGTGAGCAATCCTATTTGTGCTCCTAGCGTGCCAAAACACTGGCCCAAGCAACCCGGAAAACCAAAGTTTAACGCCTAATACGACCCCTGTGACTCATCAAGATAGATATGATCCTGGATTGACGAGGCTCGACAGGAAAGTTTCCTGCGACTCATGATCCAAGGATCGATCCACGCCACAGTCCGACTTGCACCTCCCCGCAACCTCTATCCATAATCATACACAGACGGGAGCTTAACGATCCTCGGCCCACTCATTCTCCCGGCGGATCTGCTCCTCCTCCTCAGGAGTGAAATCATTCGTGATGTTGAAAGTTTTGCGGATCTCTTCGGGAGACTTGCCCTTGATCATGTTGGCGACGGTCTTGCAGCCGACATCAAGAAGAGGCTTGATATCGAGATAGTTGGATGCCTGTCATGAAATGTTAGTTTCTAATGATTTGATGAATAGGAATGGATGGACGCACGAGAATGATTTCAAACAGCATCTCCTGATCGACCTGCATAAACTTCTGGTCCCACTCTTCGATATCAGTCGTCTTCTTGCGGGCGTCGGAATCGTCATCCTGTGCCTGGAGGGGATCGTTGCGGTGATGGTCGCACCACTCAATCACCTTGCGAAGAACGGCCTCGTTCACCTAAAGAACTACATGTCAGTCGTGAAAAAGTCAAGTATTGAAGAAAGTACATACGTTGGGGATAGGAATAGGGTTCTCAGCGTTGATACCCTCATCGCCAATGTCTTCCAACATGTTCTTGATCAACATGGATCGCTCGGCAACAACGCGGTCTGTTGATGTTAGTTAGGAATATGAGCAAGACCCGAACGCGGAGTGTCTCTTTAACTTACCGACTTCAATAGTGGCACTGTCGTTAGACGCCAGCCAGACCTTCTGTGTAGAGGTAGATTCGGCCATTTTGGATATGTTTGTGATTCGTGCTAGAGTAACTGGTGATGTAAGTAAGAGATTTGGCGTGGTGCGAAGAGAAAGTGCAGAGAGGATTCGTGATTGTTTTTGGGTGATGATGGAAGCTGGAGGAGTCAGCTAAGGTAGGTAAGTAGGTAGCGGAGGCTAGGTAACCAACCGACCAATAAACCAATCACTGTGGCGGGGTAAATGCTAGGCTGAGGTGGGTGCCTCGTGCTGAGGGCGTAGTACAACGTACCTACTAGGTATCTATGTAGAGGCAGGGCTGTGAATCAGACTCGGGGCCCTTTCTTTCAGATGGGGCTTTGTCAGATAAGGTAAGCGGGTTTGATGGAGTTGATGGAAAGTACTGGGATCCGAAGATGGATGTTGAGTACCTATGAAGAAACGATCTTGATACTGGTGGTCAATCCTGGAGAGTTGGGTTGGTTGTGGGAGTAGAGAAGTCCATTCAGTGGGAGGGATCAAGCGCTTTATATATCAGTGAATCTCAGAGTGCGAAGGTAAGGTTTACAGGAAGGTGAAGTGGATCTGCCCTGCTGCTGCTGCCTTGAGAACCCAAAATAACCTCAAAGGCTATCAAAGGGAAGAAAGAGTCAGACGGCAACCTGAAGTTAGAGGTCATGGTTGGCACGAACCTACGAGGCGCGGGCGAGTTTAATTGGGCGACTCGAGAACTATCATGTCGTCAGTGGACAAAGGAACATGGTTATTCAAAGGTTTAATATGGTCAAAGTGCAAGCGCTATTGTTCAAGCTTCGAGAAAACTTATATTATTTTGCGTCTTGATCAAATGACACATGCAGAAACGAGGGAAATGAAAGCATGCTTACCTGAACAGAAACTCACAACTATAAGCCACCGAGCTTGTTCATATCTGAATCCTATCCGAACACACAAATCGGTTCTTTATCTTTTCCCCCCTTCTTTTACAGAACTCCAATACACTTCCTACCGACTACCTAGGTACTTGGCTACGTGTGATCGAGCTCATCGCATTCTTTTGTCCACGGTCAGCAATGGCACTCGCTCGGACAGCGTATCAAGCTACTCCTCAAGGCACCTCAGACTGCATTTGAGGCCACAATGCTTGTCAGTGCGATGAACACACTCGAGACGATAAAGACACTGCAACGATAAAGTGAGTACTAATTGGAACCGTCACGAGCGGTCGTACTGGCAAGGGAGAGAACAGAATAGTTGTTGGCAAATGGCTTCAAGACACCGTCAGTGCAAGAGCTACTACCTACCAACTGGAATCAACCTTGTCATCCCTTAACTTCGTGGCGTCTGGCCATCCTGAAGCTTCTTTTGTTGAGTCGAACACCGCAAAGGAGAATAACCATGGTCATGTTGCTCACAGATGGATCAACAAATCAAGAGAAGGTCGTGCAATATTCTCAAGAAACCGTCTCCAATGCCGAAAGGGCTGCATCAATCTAGTTGCACTATTCGTTGTCTGTCTGTTAACGCAAGCATGATCAGGCAGGCAGTGTTTGTATACAGTCCGTGTCCGTTCCGTGATAAACAGCAAACCATCAGGTTCGACATGCGGAGCATCACAAAGAGTAGAGGCGGTATTGCGAGTGGGATGTTGATGTTGCTCTCAACATCGTACAACAAAGGCGGTGATGTCTCATCGATATACATACAGACAAAACCACATTCGAGACATTAGTGGCATGCATAACACAGCCATTGAACCCACCTTTCCCCTCATCCCACCAGACCCAAATGCACATGAAGGTTCCAACCAATCGGTAGGATGATCTTTTACACAAATCCTGTATTGACAGCCTTTCAAGGCATCCTGCAGACCCGCGGCAGTATCCGTACTCGAGCTCGCTTCCAGCAAATAGCAATGCATGGACATTGTCTTGCAACGGGTATATCATTGCAATCATGCGACTTTCTTTGCCCTCTGTGGGCGCTGAGCCACTCGTGGAACGGGAGTATCTACTAATAAGTCAAGTAACTTAGAAGACAGGACACCACCTAACACGTGTTGACATGGAGGCCTGTGAGAAAGAGAGAGAGAAAAACAGGTCATGCCATTAATTAATCGTCCACTACTCCGTAACTACTCCGTAATTGCCATTCGATTCAGTTCCAAGATTACCATCTTCGTGGTAATCGTCCCAGTTGGTGGCTGGAAGCTGGCGTATCAGCGGCCACGATGATTAGATCTTTTATTGCAATGGGCCTAGCGCTGGACAGGATACGTATACCTACCTACATACCTCGAATCCCTAGAGCCGCTCACTCGTTGTGTTCATCATTCTGGCGTTTAGGTCCCCACGGTAGCTTGATTTGGCTCCGGGATATAGAATTATAAGAATGCCTCAATAAATCACTTATCGTAGCCATGGGCCACCAAACATGAAAGAGTGACATTATTACGATGTTGGATCGGAGCTTCAGGAGGCCTGGTCGTCCGTCAAACCTCCCGTCGGGTGTCCCCAGAAATCGCCTCCCCCTGTCCAGTCCCGTCGGTAGGGAGCCCAAGCCCCTAAAAGAAAAAAGCTTCTAGCGGACGAAGTGGACCTCATCATCGTCAGTCCCTTCTTGGGATCCAGCTAGTGCCGCCAATCCCGGATCACGGCGTCGTCTCCCACTGGCCACGCTGTAAGCTGGCGCTCCCCCTGGGCTTGAAATGTTTCCCCTTGGGTCATCTACTAGGCCCTGTACGTTAATTAACTTAGTACCTAGCTTGGGCTCTCGAGACGAGTCGAGTTGAGCTTCTGTGATGAGATTTGGTTGTTAATCCTTGATCCATGAAGAGACCCCCCTTCCATTCACCCATGTCCTTTTGTTCAACTCAGTGGGCGAATATGAATCCATAACTAGGTACCTATCTCAGGCATGGATCTGACTGTCTCTGAGGCGGTGGGGGGTTAGACAGTACGGATACATAGGTGTCACTCACTTAAACGGAACCTGACCTCTATACGGGCTTGCTTCTCCTTCACCTTCACCTTCACCTACACCAACACCAACCTACTCATGCATACACCAGTCTCGCATTTCCTCTTCCATTCTTGTTTTGGTTCCTTGTCCCCTTCTCTTCCTATAATTCCATCCTGACTCGGGGGACTGTCTCACATAGTCGTCGATCTAACAATAGACCATCATAAACCTTTGCATCTTTCCTTTCCACCTCCACGACTCGAAGCTCCTCCAAACAGCATACGACGTACATATCAGCGACCGCATAACGAACGAATACAATCTGTTTAGCTCGAATTTCCTGCGACCGGCGAAATCTTGACACTTTTCTCTACTTCCCCCACTTTACGATTGCGGCACGAGAGCGCCAACTATAGGAGCGCATCGAGTCGAAGCACTCACGTTTGGTCTTTGTTTATGCGAATGCTCGATGCCTTTCCCCCTCAAAACTAAGCTCATGACTGCTCTCCCAATTCGCAGCTGCTAAGATCAACTATGTGGCGACGCACATATCTCACACTCGTCCTCATAAGGCTGTGGTTTGCGCTATCTCCCAGTTATTTACACCCGGACGAGAACTTCCAAGGGCCCGAGGTCATAGCTGGTATGTTTCTCTCTGCGCCGGCTCCCAGCTGCCCTCCTGTTGAAATGCCTGCACGCCCAGATGATGCATGTCGATACCCTCTGTGTTTCATGCAGACTGCCACTACTAGTCCAGCTGCTAATCCGCGCCAGGCCAAATTTTTAGTTATCCTGTTCGACACACTTGGGAATTTACAAGCGAGAACCCTATCCGTAGTGTTTTCCCACTATGGCCCGTCTACGGTCTTCCTATGCTTCTCCTGCGGTGGCTATGGATCGGTAACGGCAAAGATGGAGAGATCCCACCTATTGCGGTTTTCTGGACTCTGCGCGTTCTCATGTTTGTCATCAGCTTTGTTCTTGAAGATTGGGCGTTGCATGAGTTGATCCCGTCACCGAAGCATCGCCGTGTTGCCGTTCTCCTTGTCGCCTCGTCCTACGTGACCTGGACCTATCAGACGCACACGTTCTCCAACTCGGTAGAGACGCTCGTTGTTGCGTGGAGTCTTGTTCTGATCCAGCGAGTCGCTGATCCTCGGGTTCGTTACTTGCACACCATTACTACTGATATAGACTATCAGCTGACTTCAAATTCGACACACAGCAGCGGTCATGTGTTTTGTCTGCCACAGTGCTTGGAATAGTTGGAGTATTTGGTGTATTCAATCGAATCACGTTTCCAGCATTTCTTGTTGTTCCTGGACTTCGACTGCTCCCTGTGTTTTGGAAGAGGTGAGTCACCCTATTTGCGCTTGGCGCGGAAATGCATGAACAAGCTAACACGTCCACAGGCCTACGTCTCTCGTATACTTGACGTTAGCTGCGGCACTGACAACTGTCATTGCCATCGGTCTGGACACCGCGTTTTACCTGCCAGGTCCCATCACATGGACTGACCTGATCCATAACCCCGTAATCACCCCTCTTAACAACTTCAAGTACAATTCAGCAACCGAGAACCTGGCACAGCATGGCCTTCATCCTTGGTACCAGCATTTGGTGGGAAATTTGCCGCTGCTGCTGGGCCCAGCTGTAGCTCTTTTGATCATCAGACCCAAGATATCAATCCGACTATGGTCGGCAGTGTCGGGTTTGGTGGTACTATCGGCGTTTCAACATCAGGAGGCGAGATTCTTGCTCCCAACGGTACCACTATTTCTTTCATCAGTCCGCATGCCCCGAGACCAAACAATACTCAACGTCTTTACGGCAGTTTGGATCGGTTTTAACCTCGTTCTCGGCTCGTTGATGGGCATCTACCATCAGGGAGGTGTGGTGCCAGGACAGGTCTTCCTGAGTCAGCAACCAGATGCCACCCAAGCTATCTGGTGGAAGACATATACACCGCCAATCTGGCTTCTTAATGGCAAGAATGAGTTCTTGACCACGCGAGACGTTATGGGTCTCAAGGGTGAGATGCTACTTGAGCAACTCTCCGAACTCGCCACATGCGACACTCCCGCCGACAGACGAAACCAGGAGTATCTGAAGGAGAAGAACGGCACATATCTGATCGCCCCGGCATCAGCGACATGGTTAGATCCCTACTTGCCCAACAAGGGCTTGGAGGGGCTACGGTTTAGAGAGGTATGGCGTTACAGGAAACACTTAAACCTGGATGATATGGATTTTGGCGACGACGGCGTTTGGGACACCCTGGCCAGGGTTATTGGGCGACGGGGCCTCGTCGCCTGGAGAGTCACAAAGAGCTGCCCAAATTAGACAAAAAGGGGGGACCACTGCTCTGTCGGATTTTCTTTGTCGCATATAAATAAAATAGAAATCATTAATGACGATCCAATTTTCTCGGCTTTCTATGGAATAAGGTCACCAAAAGTTCGGTTTCCATGATTCCATCTGGAGGAATTGTATCCGTAATTATCCTTAATAATCGTCTTTCTTCACTCGAAAAGCTGGTCTTCCTAACCCCACCAGTTGGCTTCGCTTGGAAGAAACCCTGCTCACATCTCCCCGCAGCTAATGAACAGGAAATTGAGGACTTGGAAGAAAGCCAGTCACGTCATTGATAGTCCTGTAGGGAGTAGGCCGTAAATTTGCAACCGGTGACAGTCGCAATCCCGGCATTCATGGTGTTACCCTGCAAAACATTGAGCTTGGCGATGTGGACGATGGTAGGGTCAACTTGGAGTCTAAACACTCTGCATGATCTATCTCTGTTGTACATGTTTACAATCACGTTTTGAAAAGTATATTTGTCTCATTGTGTTTATTTTTCCTGCCCTCCTAGTCTAAGCTGCAGTCCACATTTCAGTGAACACGATTGCCGGAGCCATCTCAGGCAGAGGCTAACGAAACACGCTTAGTACAGGCGCTTGGGGGGAGACATGGAAGCCTTGATGGTAAGGCTTCCAACGTTCTGCCAGCCCTTCTTGAGAAGAGAGACGAGGTAGTTGATGGCCAGCATGATGTTGGCGACAAGCTGCTCCTGGGTCATCTCGACGTTGCCGACGGCGACACCCATGCAGAGAACCTTCTTGAGCTGGAACTTGATGGTGGACTTGACCTCGTTGATGCGGCCAGTCAGATCGTCGGCGTGGGAGACGGGAGTGGGGAACTTGCCGGCCTTGGACAGACCAGGACCCAGGAGACGGGGGATCTGCTTGATGAGGGCCTCGGAGGCAACGAAGGCGTCGTACTTGCGGGCAAGCTTCTTGATGAGCTTCTTGTTCTTGTTGAGCTTCTTCAAGTCATCAGCGGACATGGCGTCAACACCACCGTGCTTGGCACGATCGATATCGTGCTGGTCACCGAGAATGCTGTCAATTTGTTAGCCTCCAAATCTCTTGCTTCTATCGATTCTTCGGCCGTACCAGATAGACATGTTGGGTCGGGGAATGGAGGGCAGGCGGATGGTGCCGGAGAAACGCTTGTCACGCTGAGGATCATAGTTCTTCAGGCCGATCTGAAGCTCAACGGTCTCAAGGAAGTTTCGCTTCTTGGTCTCGTTGGAGTACTCCAAGAGCTCTCCGACTTGCGTCCGGACATTAGCTACATCTCCGTTAGCATTCTTGCGGTGCCTTATTATTGTACTGCAACTCCTTCTTGTGAGCTCAGTCTCCTCCAGGATATACCGTACCGACTGTGATCTTCGACATCTTGACAGTCTCCCAATAGATGGTTGTATAATCTAATGGTGGTCAGGGCGAGTTGGGTTAGGAAATCAGAAATTCTGAGCGCAGTTGATTTTTGGCAAAATTGGAAAGTGCGTCCCGACAGAAAGTGGGGTTCCTGCCAGGGCAAATTTTTCTCACGGGATCCCTCACGTGATATCTTATCGAAGTGTATACCTTAGGTAAGGTACCTAACCTAGGTATGGCACTTAGGTTGAAGAGATCAAGCTTTTGACGACAGCTTCGAGGCGTGGTGGATTTATTTATGGACCAAAGTTACAAGTAAGTACAGGCCAGATTCCTTGGTAATTCAATTGTCTTTCTTTGTCTGAAATACGTCGTCGAAATCATACGTCGTCGTATCCACGCTCTTCAAACCCCTTCAAGATGAAAGACACAGCTCAACGGGTTGACGACTTAATCGCCAACTCGAATCACATCTCCAAATGGGTCGAGGAGCAGCCTAGTGAAGAACAATCAAGGTGCGCAATTCCTCCGATCTCGGTCTCGTGTAAATATCCTAAAGAACCTCTGTCTGTAGTTGGGCCCAATCGATATTCACAAGACTCCTCGAAAGTGCTTCTCAGCCCAAAGGCGCTTCTGGCAACTCATGCGTGAAACTCTGCGGTTTTGTTGAGCAGTCGTCAAAATCGCAGTCACAGAGTCTGAAACTCTGGGCCTATTCTAGGGATGTTACTATAAAACTCTTCAACTTTTATGTTGAATGGAACGAGTCAGACAACCACCGGTCAATGAAACTGGTTCTCGACCTGCTCCCTCAGCTCATCAGGAGAAATCCGGATGAGAAAGCTGGCCAAGAGACCAAGTCTGCCATCTTGGACAACCTCGTCTCGATCGTGACCGGGAAATCATCAAAACCGCTGGCCAAATCTGCCATAAAGGCATTGGACCATCTCCTTACCAAGGACATCGTCACCCTAGATGAGATACGGTCCAGCTATGTCACTCTTCAACAAAAGGACACATCAACAAACCACTTGGATGTCTGGAAGTCTTTCCTTTTTGAGCTGTTCCACTGGATGACGCTTCACTTTGTCTGCCCTGCTGCTGGAAGATTTATTGTCTGCTTGTACCGTGGTCTTAGAGGCCAAGACCAACGAGGAACTTCAGGACAGTTGAGCATTGAGACTTGGCACATATGGCTGCTTGAGGCCATAAACGAGGAGCCTTCCATTCTAGAATCAGTCAAGAACTATATCTTCCTCCCTCTGTTCAAGGGGGACAAGTCCGAGGCCCTGGGCTTCTTGAAGAGGATGAATGAACATGAGGCTGTCTCTGCAGGCCATGAGATAGATATCAATCTCCCCGCCCTGCTGCAGCTGGCAGCGTTAGAGATCGGCAAGAAGGTTGGCTTAGTAGAAGAGCCAGGTAAGGCACCTAATGAACGTATACTAACGCCTGCTAATCTGAAACAGCACTCGGTGATGATAAATCTGCCGATAGCGACTCATCGATTGTGCTCGACGAGAAGGTTCTGGAGAGTGTCTTGGCTCATCCATCTCACGAAGTTCGCTCTCTCGCACTTTCACTGCTCATGAGCTCCCCGTCAACAACAAGGCCATATTCATCCACAGCCCTTGACCTACTCCGCAAGCATCTCGCCACATACTTCGCCGATTCTGATGCCAAGTTCAGAAATGAAGTAGCTGGAAAGGTTCGAGACATGTTCAGAAGGGTCAGGGGTGCCATTTTCGTGCTCAGGAAGAGCATCCCAAGAGCCGCCGCTCGTAAGCAAAAAGAACAGCCAGGCCAGGCCCAGGAGCAACATATCCTTTATCGGACCAATCTTATATCTCTCCCCGAAGCTCAGCTGATGCACTGCTTGGAGTATCACGAGAAGTTCCTATTTTGGTACATTGGCTTCCTGTGCAGTGAGTTAACGCCCACTGCTTCTTATCAACGGCATAGCGCTTCTCTCAAGGCCGTCACTTTCGTCCTTCGAATGGAAGGAGAAAAGTCCAAGACGTGGGAGACCGTAGATGACCAGACACTATTCTTTGACCAGTTTGGCAGCTCATGGCTCCGAGCTTTGTCTGACCTGATCATGGATTCATTTGATGACATCCGAAACCATGCTGCTACGGTACTCAGATGGATTTTCTCGGATAGCCGGTACAGGAACTTCCACTTGCTGGCCCGACAAGGCAAACCAAATCCCACTGAAGAGCTCACAGAACTTCTGAGACGAGCTGAAAACCTTGCTCGCAAGACTGCTCGAGCCGATCATTCAGACGGTGTCGCCAGAGTATCTCAGCTACTGTATAGGTTCTCTGAAAATGAGCAACATCGAGTCGCACTACTTTCAAAGCTGATAGGAGGCCTGGAAGCAAGGCTAGCAGTCGCTGAGAAGGATCTCGGCAGAGCGGTCCTAGATGCGCCGCTGCACGGTGATTTTGCTTCCCTGTGCTACATGTGGCAGGTGGTTTCAGAGCTTCAGTTTTCTGAAGGCGAGTTACAGTCCATACAGGCTCTGCAAGACACTCTGGTCACTTGCTGCGAAAGAGTCTGGGCAGCAGTCCGTGACATTCTCTGTGATGACTCGCCTGAAGGCCATTTGCCTCAAGAGCTAGAAGAGGTTGATGGACTCGACACCAAAGATGTGTTGAGCTATAGCTTCCGATCTGTACATGAAGCCAGGTAAGTCAGTCAATGACTTTGAGTATTGCCGCCACTAAAAAACGGTAGCAATCTCATGCGCATCATTATCCTCTCTATCAAGCAACACTCCCGCCCAGGCAGAATCTGCCCGTCAAAGGAAGCTTATGAGAGAATAGGAAGCTTATCATTTACCCAACTAGCCAGTCTAAGACATCGCGGCGCTTTTACGACTGTCGCCCTTACTTTCTCTACATGCTGCCAACTTGTCAAGCACCTGGACCAAGCCAAAGCTGGCACCGAGAGTGGTACTGCTCTTCTTGAGCAGTGGTATGCCGTAAGTCTTACTATCTACCTGCTGAGTCACTACCTTTTCCCCAAAACGTATACTCTACAAGATATGGAGTACAAGGTTTGGGAACTGACCACAAGTAGGGCACATTAGAAGCCATCAACGCTCAAGTATCGACCACTCGGCGATCTGCCGGCATCCCTGCGATGATGACAGGCGTCTTATCCGCCAATGTGTCTAATCCTTCATTTGAACAAGTCATGAACAAGCTCATGGAGATTGCCAGCCAAGAAGCCCGCGTCACTGAGACCGACGGTTCGAATCTTCCCCAGGTCCATGCTTATAATTGCCTGAAGGAGATCTTCAAGAGCTCCTACTTGACAGCCATGGGCAACAAGTCTGAGAAATTTTTACCGCAGTGTCTCGAGCTGGCGGCCAATGGCCTCAAGTCTGAACTATGGGCCATCCGTAACTGCGGCTTGATCCTACTCCGGAGTCTGATAGACTGTCTCTTTGGATCCCATCAGAGCAAAGCGCTCATGGAAGCAGGATGGGATGGTAAAGCCAACCGGATAGCCTACCACCGATACCTTTCCCTTCCAGGGACTCTCCTCCACCTCCTGAAGTCAGGCCACCAGATGATGACGTCCATTGCCGCCAGTTCAGCTGCGGCTGAGTCAGTCTTCCCAGCCCTTGACATCATTCGAAGAGCCGGCCCCCCTGAGGTACTTCGTGAAGAGCTCCAGATACATATAGCAAAGTATCTGGCCAGCCCGGTGTGGCACGTCCGCGAGATTGCAGCCCGAACTCTATGCTCGTGTCTCCTGCACGCTCAATGGCTCGATACTATCACCAGTATTGCCGCTGAGTCTGTTCGCTCTCAAATCGGGAATGTTCAGAATCACGTCCATGGCGTTCTGTTGGCACTAAAGTATATCGTAGACCGTTTGAGCGAGGTTATGCCTGAGCAGTTGCAACGTGAGAAAGACTGTATCGACAAACCTGAAATTCCGCTAACACGTACTACACAGGCGACATACCCAAGCTCTCCGGTTTCCTCATCGAGTACTGGCGCGAAATTCAGGCCTTGGAGTCACCTGAAATTCCTGCCGCGTATCTTGAGGTCACAAATCTTGTACGAGCTCTCCCCAGGCCTGGGTCAACTGATCCTATTCAACTCGAATTCCCTATCCCCAACAACCGAGAGGGGGCTCTACTCAGGGCACAGAGGGTAATCCACGAAGTCCACTCTATCGCCGAGGGTAGTGGCCCCATCGAAAATCTTAACACATTATTCCTGAGCACGACCATGGGCGTCAACACGATAGTGGCTGGCCTTGGGACAGTTCCTAAGCTTTGGGACGTTTCTCGCTTCTCAGAGCAAGACCTGGGCAAGTTCTGCAATCTGTACCGTGATGTTTGTGTCAAAATTGGACCCGTTGAGCCTCGGGTTATTGCTCTACAGAACCTCACAGAGATCCTGGACCAGGTTCTGAAGAGTGGAACAATCAGCCTCGTTTCGCCGGATCTGCTTCTGGAGGTTTGGAGCAGCCTGCCACCGAGTTCTATCAACCCTGCCCTCGCCAACGCGGTAATCAGAATCAGTGGCTGTATCATCGCCATCCTCAGTAGAGCACAAGTTGTCACCCCAGCGGGAATCAAGAACTGGGGACATATGATGGCCGATGCTGGTCTGGATGACAAGGTGAGTGATGGGGAAGCCAGTGATATACGATCTTTGACCACTAAAACCTTTTACAGGATTTTGATACTCGTCTCGCTACAGTCGAATCACTCTGCTCATTCTTCTCTGTCATTGAGGTTGGCAAATCATGGGTTCAAGAAGAACACCTCGCAGCTATCCTCGCTCTCTATGACTCCCTCAACGACGACGACGACGATATTCGAGACGTGGGATCAGCAGCAGTCCAGAGCATTTTAGGTAAAGCTCTTGTACCTATTGAAGCGGCAAATCGTCTTCTCTTATGGCTAGCCCAGCACTACGCCAGTAGCCCAACGTTCCGCCAGGTCGTTGTGCGTCGCGTCATGGGTGATTCTCGGTACCCAACCCCCGAGGACAACGTGATTTCTATTCAGGACCAGCTGCAGGAGGCAATGAAGTTTGATGATTCACTTTTTGTGATTGAGGAGCAGAATTTGTTCGTGGATGAGGTCAGAGAAACACAGCGCTGGATTGCTCTCTATGACATCCTAACATGGGAGTCTAATGACCCATCTCTCGACTCACTTACAAAATGGACCGGCACCGGGTTAGAAGTGATGGAGGACCTCGCGAGCCAAGAAGACGGTCCCCTTGGATATGCGTCAAAGCCAGAGGTCTTCGCCATCCTATCACGGGTTGTTCGTGCTTCTGCAGCGATAGCAAGGAAACAGCCTGATTCTGGTCTTTGCGAGAGGATCAACAAGTCAGGCAGTGTTGTGCAAGGCGGCCTGGGACATATGTCAGGTCTTTTGTTACAGTCTTTCTAGGAAACTCCACAGACAAAGAGGTAACCATGTGAATAAAACAAGCAGCAAGGATAAAAGTAATGATTGAATGCTATTTATGATTTATTGATAAAAGAGTTCCCCTGACGCCTCGCAGTAGAACAACGGCCGTAACACGCGTGCTGTATATGAATAATAATAGTGGTTTTCATGAGAAGCCCCCAGCTTCGTCTCCTGACTGAGTCAATACTTTCTTTCCAACATGGTATCTCAAACATTTGTCTGGGCTCTCTGAATGCTTTTAATGGAGGGTGACGGAGAGCCCGGACTGTCCAGCAGTCCATTCTTACCAAGCTTGCGGACAAGCATGGTATTCTGTGCCTGCAACTCGCCAACCTGCCCTTCAAGGAGCTCGATCTGGCGACGAGCGACATCTCGCTCTGCACGAACACGCTCAAGTTCAAGTGAGAGGTTGTTCTTCTCTTCCTGCTCGGCTGCTTTGCGACGTCGCTCCTCAGCCTTGCGCTGATCCCGCTCACGTTTCTCCTCGAGCTTGCGCATCTCGCGACGATACTTTTCCTCCTGCTTAGCAACCTCCTTTTCATGCTTCTCACGCAACTTTGCCAGTGTAGCAGCGTCCTTCTCCTTGTCCCCAAGAAGCTTGCTCTGTCGCCGCTCATCTAGACGAGCCATCTTCTCATCAAGCTTCTTCTTCTTTTGTTCGAGCTTCTTAAGTTCCTTATCCGCTAGTGACTGCTGTGATTGCTGCGGGTTGGAACGTGAAGTCTCCGATTGGGACTCAACAAGACTGTCGGGGGATTTGTTCTCGGCAGTCACGCTCTTCTCAAGGGCTGAGGCAAAGCTTCGGATGGAGGAGGTGTCGCTGTCGTCATCATGTCGCTCCTCAGCAATCGCATGAGCGTCGGACACACTCCCATCGGTGGACACAAAATCGGAACCAGTTCCCCAGGTCTTGAGCAGGCTTGCAGGAATATAGGAACTGGCAGCCCCTATGGCACCAGCAATGACACCATACAGCCCATTGCTGCCCGGGAAAGGGTCGTCTTGATTTGTAGACATGGCAGCGTCAGCCTTGGTACTTTCAAGATTAGCAGTAGGATTCGGTGCAGCCGTGGACTTTGCCTCGTGCGTGGCAGATGCTTCAGCGGCGTCACTAGTATCATTTGCTTCTCCAGTCTCTTCCGGCTCAGCAAATCCATGCATAGCCTTCGACGTCACCCACTTAAGGAACTTTCCAGCATCACCCACGATGCCTGGTGGTGTTCCCTTCTCGATAAGAAAGCGCGGGACGCTGCCGCCAGGGTCACTACGAGTCACCATGAGCCATTCGACAGCCGTGGCAGGTTCGTCGAGTGGCATTGAACCGTGGCCCTCGCTGCCAGGTTTGGGGCTTGCTATCCTACCCTCGTCTCGATCCAGGAGATCCGCCGACGACAAGGATCTCTTAGAGGTAAAGTTGTCGACTGGGACTTCGCGAATGACTTCGACTGATTCGTAGTAGCCACGGATAATGCCCTGGCGGGGAGGACACTCGGGGTGCTCGCAAGGTTTTGAAACTATCATGTACTGTCGGAGGGGCCGGGATCCTTGGGCGGGTTTCACGGAGGTCTCGGAAGTTAGGAGAAGAGTCACAAAGTCTCGCGGGGCGGTCGGACCAGGGAACTGGGCAGAAAGTTGAAAGACTATTGGCTGTCAGCTAAAAAAGATGTTTTGATGGTGATGGCATGATTCGGTCGGCGTACCTTGCAGTTGGCCATGATCACCGATCTGCTTGTCCTCCACGCGCTTGTCGGCGCCGATGCCACGGATATTGCCACTTCCAGGAGCACCTTGGACCTTCATCGTCTCCGAAAACTCAACAGAAAGGCCCTTCTTCCAGTCGTCAAAGGACAGCCCTTCGTGTACACTCCGGCGAGCGAACCATGCGCCGCGTCCATCTTTGGCGCTCAGCTTATAGACGTTGATCCCGAGAGGGTTCTCTTTCGCGCTGACTTTGATCTCCTTCCACTCCTTCTGCAGGTCTTGCGCCTGGCCGATGGCTTCAGCTTTCTGCCGCAGGGTCAGAGCACGTTTGATATCGGGAGCTGAAGCCGCCGACTCCGTCTTGGATCGAGCTCGTCCTGCAGAGCTTGAAGGGTCCTTCTTGGCTGGCACTGGAATAGATTCGACCACGGTCTGCGTCTCGGAAAGAACATCGGCCAGGAACTCTTCAAGGTCGTCGTCTTGGGGCACCTGTTCCCACTCAACAGGGCCCATAGCCCCTAGAGGTTCGTGGTGATTGCCCCCCATAGCTGCTGGCTGAGTGGACAGCTAAGGTACTATACTTATGGAGATGGCGGCGGATGGATTGGACTTGAGTTGGTGAATAAGGCAGAGTAAGAGTGAGATCTCGTAGGAGTAACTACTAAGGTATTCTAACTTAGTAGTTGAGTACTTAGGTAGTCTCGTGCCTGCTTACGAGATAAAACAACCTAGGGAAAGTCCAAAAAGAGTCGCTGACTTAAGGTATTTAATGCTTCAATAAAAAACGAAGACGTCAGAAGTAGAACAAGATGAGATAAAGCCAAGAAGGCCAACGACCAACCAACGCACGCTAGAAATAGCAGTCGAAATCATACCAAGAACCCCGACCCTTTGCCTTTTTACTCTCTCGGCCGCTATGGGCCATGATCAACTGCCGTCATTCCCGCGATTGACGTCACTACCAAGGCACCTCACCTACTGGCCTACCTAACCTTACAGAGTTACATCCACTACTCCGTACCCTGTAGGCAGTTAACCTTCAGTGGCCTAGGCTGGGCCCGCCTACGGAGTACACCTACACCTTAAAGGCAGCTTAGTCACCCACGTCAATCCTCGGAGGCATGTTATCAAGTTACCAGCCAACTACCTTGGTATAGGCAGCGCATGAATATACAAAGTGCCAGGGCAGTCTCAAGTCCTTACACTTTCGAAAGGTGGCTAGGCTACCTATTTCATAGATGATCCATGTTGGACAAGGCACTGTCAGCTGCCATAAGGCAAACAGACCCGCTGCATCCTTGGTTCTCCGTTGGTCTATACGTAGTACACGAAAACAACCAACGTAGACTTATGCATAATCAATCCCAGAGTATCCTACTCCCGATTAGTCCAGCTACTGCCCATATAAGCACCGCTTCTCGGCATTTGTGAAAGTGTCTGCTCCGACTCCGTACGTATGCTGACAGATGAAATTCGCTAGGCGAGGGCTAGCCCGAGAGTTCTATTCACCTCTCGAGTGCTTGCTTACACATTATATGTACAGCTACAAAGGAAACCTTACTTGGGGTGCCTTACCCAATAACAAAGTATGCTCTTTCTATCGTCTTACACAATCGACAGCTTCCGACCCGTCATCGCAACCTGGTAGTCCTGCTTACAGCTCCCGCAGTAAGTATCCCGCCACTGCTCGAGGGCCTGTCGTCTCTTAGCTGGCATAGGCTCCATGGCCTTATGTGGCCCCTTGACGGCTTCTGCCCCTTTCCTCTGCCCCTTTGCGTCGCCCTGCTGCTGCTGCAGCATAGTATCCAGTTCATCACAAAGGAACTTTTCATCTACCAACCAATTCTCCCATTCTGACTGTAACATCTCTCGCTCGATGCTGTTGACGACCCTCATGGCTACTAGCAAGTCATGCCGGTAAGACCCTAGCCGTTGTCGAGTTCGTCGCAGTCGACGGGCTGTAGCACGACTAGTGGGTGTAGCCAAACTAGCACCGGCATCCTCCCAGGGCGCATCCATATCTGTCGTATCCAGTAGATCCTTGAACGTCGAGAAGCATGTGCTGTTATCGGGAAAAGACAACCCTTGATTAGCCCCGGATGCTGTATCCAGATCCGCAAAGTATATGGCCTTGCTCATCATCGAATTGGGCCGAATTCCGATGTTTTGCATGAATCCTGCTGCTCTTCGCTCTCTCCACCACGTCGAAGTCTCGCTCGACGTTAGTAGGAGATTTGTAAGTGTGCTGAATGCGAGAAGTGCAAGGATGATCCACTGAGCTGTAATCAAGTTGAACAAGTTGCGCAGCACAGCAATAGCCCACATGATGAGTGACGATACTGCACTCTCTCCCAGTGACCGAATCGTCTCAAACACCATCGTAGTCAGGGTTCGAGGTTTGATGGCCTGCTTCTTTGCCGAATCTGTTGCAGCAGGCGAGAAGACCACCACCTCTGTCTGTTGCCCTATCTGGCCGTACACCTGGATTGCTCTGTTTGTTCGGCTGCGAGTTCCAAGCTTCCGAACTTGATCCGTAGCAACCTCAGCCAACTCTTCAGCGTCACTTGCGGCGTCATGAATGGCTTGGCGGTCAATCAGGTTCTTGGAGAGCGCCGGGTTTTTCGACCAATCCGTTTTTGTGTAGATGGCTAATTTGCACTTGGACTTGGCTACATGCGTTATGACAATCTTGGTCACAACCTTGAACCAGCTTGAGTGAGGCAGATGCCACGCCGTCTTGACATGGGTAACCACGTACGTAACGTGATCGCTGAAGACATCGATGATCTGGTAGTCATTGACATCGGCCGTCTTGGACCGACCTAGGACATCTTTGTAGTCAACCTTGAACTGGAAGTCACGCCTCATCCTGCCCTGATCAATTAGAACCCAGGGCCCTTGAGCAATCTGCTGAGCGCGTCGTTCGAAGTAGAGCTTTGGAAATACAAAACTCTTGTCACCGAACAAAACGTGGAAGCAGGACTTGGCACTAATTTCAAAGTGTCGCTCAGCCGCCATCTCTTTCATGCCCTCTGGTTCATAAATGACAGGGCGAGCTGGCAAGTGAAGTTTATGGTTATGCCGAGGTCTCGATTTCGAAAGACGAAACGGAGGGCTAAACTCCATACGTCGAGCAACAGGCCGCCCCATCGAAGTACCGTCATCCATGGGCGTGTTTGCCGATACCTCCTCCCAGCTTTCGACACTGGGACTTGGGCGGTCATACTCTTCCTTTTCGAGATTGATCAAGGTGGTGATGATCGCTTCAACATCCATGG